ATATTTTAGCTATGGAACGGACAACTATGATTTTATCATCAAAGGAGATAAAACAATAATTAACAAAGATTGTTAATGGTTAAGATCAAACATAGTCAAATCAATTTTGTGTTTCCAATCATTAACAAATATTTGATTTTATAATAAATCTACGCTGATCACGTGAATCGTCTTAGTATTTTCTATTGTTATTAGTAGAAAAGTAATTTTGACCGTGATATTAAACGACTTTACATATATTTACGCTTACTTTCTGATTTGATTTACATAGTCGAATTTCGATACTAAGTAATCGAATGAAAAACATTTTAAAAACATTCATACACATTTTTTTTGACAATGAATATTTTATTTGTTCCTTTAAAGGTTAACAAATTTGACATTAATAGAGTTATGAAAATATCTGACAAGAAAATTAACAAGAGATGCATCCTTTACTTTTTATAGTACATCATCGCAGAAAAATGCATCGATCATAGATTATAGATTTACCAAGAAAAGAAATAACGCCGAATTTAGAAAACATGAGAAATTGAATTGAAGTATATAAAGATAACTTAAGAATAAGTGGAATACACGTATGAGATATAATATACGAAGCGTTAGTGATAATCTATTTATTTATTTTTTCTTGTCATATTTTCTTTATCCGACATTAGTATTATAGTTACAAATATTAGGGTAGTTTTGGAAACTATTTTAAGATAAACCATCCTAAAACAGATAAAGATAATTTATATATACCTAATTGATTTTTTTGAACGTTGAAGAACATGAGTAGGTCAAGTTTCGTATACCTTGTTTTTTTCTGATAACCTTTGAGGAATTTTAGCATTTTTTCGAAAACAACAGCTTTTGTAATAATGTTTTAATCAAGAAGTAGCTATTAAGAATGCCGTCCAAGTTTATCGATATAAAACAGCTTCTAATGATTTCTTTAGATGTTTTTCAAACGTTATCCAGTATTTATAAATATAATCTCTTGATGAAAATTTCTGAGCTGTGGCTAGAGTAGTTAAATCGTTCCAACATCATATATTGTAAATAATTCTTAGCCCAGTACCATATACATGCTCAATAGTTTCTTGTTGTTTTTTCCGTATAAAAAGAATCATATTGCAAGCAGCCAGTTAAAATGAGATAGGGCATAGGTATAGAAAAGGTTTTTACGCATTTTTATTTCATCTTTTGGAATCGTTTTAAACATTTTCTTCACACCAGCATATAGATTTCGTATTTTGTTCAACCTATTAATTATGAAATTTCCCCCACTCCAACTTTGTCTCAATCTCAGTTCCCAAATATTTAAATGATTTGACCGATTCGATTGACGTATTTTTATATTAAATCTTTGGTTTCTCTGCTGCTACTGCACTATGTATCAGCATAGTCTTTGTTTTTGAAATATGCACAGCTAAAATATACTCATCTGCAAATTTTTCTAGTGATTTTAAAACGTCTTTTGTTTGTTTCTCTAGATATTTTATATTATCCGATAGTTTCTTTTCGTGTTCTCGCCTTGTTTAACAATCATACTGAGATCGTCTGCAAATAAATGGGACACAATTTGAGCGAGATATCCAGGCAAAAAGTGTATGTAGATTCGAAATAATAATGCTGCAAGAACAGATCTCTGTAGTGAACCTGGAAAAACTCTGATAACTCTTGACTCTGCATCCACATGACTAGTTGTCATCGAGCGGTTTTGCAACTAAACATAGATCGATCGGCATAGATCTATAGGCATGTCAAGATTATCAAAAGTTTTAAAGAGTATTGGATGCCACAGACGGTCAAATGCTATAAGAAAATCTACAAAGATTGCTAACATCGGGCGGTTTGGTGCCGGTACCGTTAGTCTTATATCCTCAACGAGAGGATATGTGAGTCTAGAGCCTACAGTTAGTGGTAAATCCTGATTGTTCATCAAGACCAAGCTCATTGTTTAGACATTAGTTTTCAATCCTCTCTTCCACGATTCTCTCCAGCCATTTACCAATGTTCGGCAACAACAAGATAGAACGAATTCTGTCCTCAGTTGGATAAACTTCATCTTTGGACAAGCATACACCCCTCGCATGTTTCGCCTGCTCAACGAACTTCCCATTTTCAGCACACTTATTGAAGAGAACTGTTACAATTTGAAAGTATTCTGTGGGAAGATTTTTAAGATGAAAGACAGACGTATTTATACTGTCCAGTGATTTTTTTAGATTTAAATTTTTTCCATTGTTTTATAACATCATCTGTTTTTATTTTTTGAAGCAAAGTATTCGAATTATATACAATCGGTGCATATGTTTCTAGGTATTGTGCATTGTTAATGTCATATTCTGGCTCTGAAAAATGCTTTTCGTAGTAATTTGCTAGGATTTCACCAATCTTTTGATAATCTCTCTCGACACCTTGCGATGTTTTCAGTCCTTGAAATGGTGTTGTGTATTTTTTAAAAGTTGGACTCACTATTTTCCAGATATTAATATTTTCTTTCATAAAAAGTAGTTTGTCATTTTTTTCCCTTCTTAGAAGTCTATTTTTTCTTTTTTATGCACATCATGCCAAAATGCCCATTTCTCGTAATGACGTAAATAATGAGATTTTCTATATTTTCTTTTACGTTTATTTACCACCTTTGCTAGTAAAAACAAGATGTTGTAACCATGGCGGTCTATATTTTCTTCACGTTTTCAAAGATACTGCATCTGTCTCATACGATTGATAAGAAATTAGAAAATAACTGGAAAAAACCATCTTGATCAAAGTTATAAACTAGACTGTCGAAATATTTAAATACACATTCTAAGAAAAATGTAAATATTGGCCAGTTAGTTTTTCGAAAAGATGGTTTTTATTGATAGAAAATAATGAAGTGTGAATAATTGGGTAGTGATCAGACATGCCTTCTTCTAAAACATCACAATCCTACCCTATTGTATCTTGACCAATCATAAAATGTACGATGGCTTTCGACCTTTTTGATGTCGGAGATATTGGATGTGCCATTTCACATCCATTCTTTTATCTCATTTCCATTTGTATTATTTTTAAGACAATTCCACTAGACATGTTTGACGTTGTAATCTCTAAAAATAAAGAAGTTTTTGCCTATATACTTGTGGAATGATTCAAAAGGTGTTTTAATTTTCGGTGATACATAGATTCTTTCCAAATAATTTTTTTGTTTTTGAATTTCTATTCCTATCATTAAAAACTTTTCATCTTTTTCATGATTTTACTGGATATGGATTGATGTATTAGAATGGCTACTCCTCCGAAACTGTTAGAACTGTCGACACTTTTTCAATAAACTAATGGAATTTTAGGCATATTCCGAAACTATTTCCCTACTCCGGTTAAAACAACAATCTGAGGAATATGAGAAGTTAGAAGAGTATCTATATCGCAAATATGAGTACTTAGACCTTCATAATTATATAAGAGAACAATAAGATTGTCGTTATCTCCTTAAGGTCTATCTTCTTTCCAAGATTTACATAGATCGCTTATAGAGATTTTAGAATTTCATTCGGTAAAAATAGAAAAAATAATGTTTTTCTTACGTTCCTTTCCTGTAAATTGTTCTGCGAAATCTATATTAATCATCGACACTGCATATCAAAATTCTTTAATATTCATTTTGTTGTTGAATTATTGTACTTAAAGTACAATTTAATGATAACTTTTGCCTATCAATTCAATGTTGAAGTAAAGATTAATGAGTTAAATAAGTTGATTTTTCATTATTCAATATTGCTAATTGATTTCATGTAGCATTTATTATGCCATTTACTTCTGTATTGTTATTTTCTGTTTTCATTTTTTCAAATATTGAACAAACAGTGCTTGTAAAAACTAAAAATATTGTAAATATTGTGAAGCCTATTATGTTATTCATTACTGTTATCATCTGTATGCGTACCGATCTGTTATTGCATTACGAGCAAACTTTGATTAATTGAATTTAAATTTTTATTATATTTTAGCTCATTTTTTCGTTGTTCTCCAATATATTTCTTTTTCATTTCATCTAATTCATCTTTCAATGACTTTATTGTATCATCCATATTGATATTATTAAATATCGTTGTTGATGTCAATTGGTTTGGGATAGTATATTGCAATATAGGCCATGCATTATAATCATTTCCAATAAATGTAAATTGTTGCTGATGTGGTAATTTATTTTCAATGGACTTACTTTTTTCGCCATTCAGATGGAACGAAGATTTATTTATTTTTTTACAGGTAAAAGATCAGAATGTTTACGATGTTCTAACACTAAATTATTCTACACTCTTGGATAAATAAGCATTTGTAATCTATAGAAATATGATCATCTTGGCAGTGGTGGCATTTAATTTGACATGTTTTATGGTTGTCTGCATTATTTCTATCCTTTCTACATTGTCGAAAAATTTCAATTAATGAAGAAGAACAAATCTTTTCTTTTTACATGCCCTGGTTAGTTCCATTTTGTACATTTCAATAATTTCGAAGCAGGAAGATATTCGTCAACATCATATAGCCACTTATAAATTGTAACTTTCACATTGCTTAATATTTCATCATATTCTTTTTTAATGTGCAAAATCGACACGTACATGACGATTACGTTCATTTGCAGTTCCTTATATTTCCTTCATTGCATGAATTGATTTATATCTTTCATCTAAATCATTTTTCAGTTTATTAAAAGAAACTGTATTTTTTTTTATCCATGTCAATACTGAAGATCGTTGTGGTAATAGCTGTTTTGGTGTATGTGGAATAATTTTAATAGTATTTATTTCTTTTGGGTATCTTTCTTCTCTACATAAATGTACATATAGATCTATGTTGTTAGAGCTTCTATATTTCCATGTTTACCAACCCACCACACATCAAAATCTAATGGTTTTGTATACGTTGGATTTTATTTTGTCAAGTTAATGGAAATAAATTTTATGAAATCTTGTATTGATTTAACATCTATTTTGTGTTCTTTAATTTTTGGATTACATTCAAATTTCAGAGGTTGAAGATGATTTTCTGCTGCAAATTTTAATACGTGTTGCGATACTTTTGTTTGATTTATTATTGTTAAAATTATTATTACCGTTATTATTAGTGTTTTTTAATAATAATGATTGATGTTGTTGTTGCAATGATCTTGATCTCTCGGGTTGTGTTCGATTTAAATTGTTATTATTAATATTTTCATTTAATGAATTTGAATTTATTATTATTCTTGTTGCATATCTCTCTTCTTTATCTTTCATTTTCTTTTTAACTTTGGGATACATAAGTTGTTGATATTCCATATTGTCATCATCATCAAATTTATCACAGAATGATTGCTCTTTAAATTGGCTACAATTTGTATTATAATGTTTTAGTGAGGTTGATTTTTCACTACTTTTTTGATGATGCTGAAATTGCTGAATTTTGTTCTTGCAAATCAGTTCCATTACATAATTTGTTCTTTTGCACTGCATTCATCTTGTTATAATTGTTATACGTCATTTTTAATATTTTTATTAATTTTAATTGTTCTTTATTTTAATAAATTTTTATTTTTTAGTTAACTTTACATTAAGTTTAATTTTAAGTTTAACTAACTAAGGACACTTTAATCATGTTTGAATACATGCGTACATATATGTTTAGTGTGCATCCAATATACAGAAAGAAAAAACGATAACACATCCTATCTACAGAGTGCGAACGGACGGTATAACACTCATACATATGGACCGTATCAACATAATCGAAACTAAACAATACTTGTTTTTGTTCTTCAATAAGCAGCTATCAATATATGCATTTTTAAATGAGTTTGTTGAAATGATGTTATCATCAAACTAATTCCATTTTTACAATATCGGTTGCAGAGAAAAAAGGATTTAATTTCCGTTTCTATTAAACAAAGCGTAACTATTCGAATACTGATCTGATTTAATTGCTATTAGAACTCATTAGAGCCTATAGTACTTTGCACTCGTTGTACTGAAGTCTCATAGAAAATATATTGTAATGATTATTATACTATAAAAGTCACTATATATGATCGAATAAGAGAAGAATTTCATGTTTCCTATATGCTTTATATATATTGATTTATTCTTATTACAAAGACGCTACAGATAAAAATAAAAATAATGATTTGATTTTTCTTTTGACAAGTAATATTAAAATATAATGTACTGTTATTGGAAGCAAATATAGAGATGATCGACTATTCGAATTTATTTTTAATCATTATACAATTTGTACGTATGATGTTGAAAGGTTATGAATATATCTTTCCTCATCAATCAGGCGTTTATGTATGTGTCATTGATTAATTGAAATAGATCTGAAAATAATAGCATACCTTCGTTTCTTCTAGTGACACGCGATATGACCCAGATGATTGTTTGAACTTTGTAACAACTTATTTTGAGTTTTAAAATAACTTTATTATCTTTTGAAAAAATTTTATTCATTTGAAATTTTGCTATTTATAAATTCACATATATTTATGGACTGTTTATGTATTTTCTTGATTGTTTACAAGATCTACTGAATAATTTATAATGCTTGATCTAAAAAAAAAAACAACCATTTCGACAATAGAACAATCTTCTTGGTTTTATTAAACCGTTTGGTGAGTGACGACACATATGTGCATCATAAGCGTTATTACCTCATGAAACTAATGTAATCACCTATAATGCATGTCTTTTTTGATGTATTAGCGTAAAAGCAAACGTCAAACAGCAGGAGCTTTCCATCTTATTATTGTGTTATTGTTCATGTGAGACTCATGCGTTACGAAACAAAAATGTGTGCGTGGTGTCAAACCACTTTATTTTACATATGTGTATCTTTTGCCAATAACCAAATGGTGAAATAAACAGTTCATTCAACAAAAAAAATTTTGCATATTAATTTATCTATCATATATAAACTTCAATGAAATTCATGCGATCAATAAAAAAAAAACATATATATATATATGCCCATCGTTTACAATATTAATAGAGATCGACAAGATTGAATTTATTTTTTTAATATCAGTCCATAATAAATTTACAAACAGAATTAAAATGATCAGATATGTTTTCAAAAGAGAATTTTTTTTGATACAATCATCATTTTATATTTTATTAGATTTGATAAGAACTTTTAATATGAAATTTTTACTTAATTAAGAGAACTTTTGAATTTAAACCTATTGAAAATATTTGTTTATTCTCTATTACAGCAATTATGTGTTATGATAACGATGTAGTGACCTATATAGATATTTCTGTATCAGTTAAAAATATACGAAAGGTCAATAAGCAATCTGGCAATGAGCCATGGTCAAAAAAAAACGAGAGAATACGAAAAAAAAATTGATAGTAATCTTCGTTACCGCCTTACAATAACACATTCACCATTCTCGATTCATTCATTTGATACACAGTCTTTTTCTCGATTGCTATGGTTCAATGAACACCAAATGTCGCATATCATCTATTGTGTCTAGTAAGTAGTAATGATAAGAAGACTGCATTTTTTGTTCTCTCCATATTACTGTTTCTCATGTCAATCGATAGAAAACAAATGTTCAGATCGACTTGATTTTTGAATTACTAAATATTTACAACTAATTTTAATTATGTTTTATCCAACAACTGAATATGCTTATATTGATGAAAATGGCCAAAGTGTAGAACCATCACGATTAGTCCATTATCCTGATAATAATGAACAATTACCACCTCATATGGTTTTGGATGAAAATATTTATGATAGTAATCAACAACAACAAACTCAATATCGACCAATTGTTATTGATGGATCTCAACCATTGTAAGTTTTATTTTTGTTTTTTTATTAAAAAAATCGATTAATAATTCAAAATTTTATGAATCAAAAAGAAATTGTAATAATGTCGATAGATATGAACATTTTATCTGATTGATGAAGCGTACATACAAATTAATCAATTGATAATTTAAAAATTTTTTCTTCATTTTAAAACATAATGAACGATTGAATCAATTTGAAAATAAAATAATCATATGTTTGTTATTTTTTCATACTTTCATATTGTTTTTTTCTTATCAGTCAGGCATATTAAAATACAGTTGATTAGTTCAAAATCTAAATTTATAATTGCGATGACATGGAAAACGATTTTGATAAGAAAATAACAAGATAAAGATCAGTTGTTATTTTTTTTAATTATTATGTAGGGCCAAATGTAGTGTACTATACTTGGGTACAGCTATTTCTTCACCAGGTCAACGTGGTATCGATGCTATACAAGAACCATTATCTCGAAGGTATCCAGTCGATGGTAAAGAAGTTGTTCGAGGTATATAATAAAGTCTAATTTTTTTCTTGGTTTGTTTTCAAGAATTATTAGTAAATTCTCTTTTGTTTTTTAAATTGAAAGGTATCGAAACATGGCTATCTATATATGATAATGGTTTACAATTACAATTTGCTCGTGATCCATCTGTTGTTTTATTTTATCCTATTCGTTCTCTTGTTTATTGTGCCAGTATTCGTTTTGCAACACGAACACAAACAGGTGCAGAATTTCCCAATGGTTGGCGTTTTGTACCATTAGATTCACCAGCTGCAGCTCGAATGGAAAATACACGAAATCCACCATTATTTGCTGTAACATTTCGACGTACTCGTCATTTACCTGTTGATGAATGTCATTGTTTTGTAACAAAAACAAGACAAGCTGCATTAGCACTTGTTCAAGCTTGTTTTAGTGCATATCAAGCAACTGTACCACAACAAGATTGTTCAAAAGTACCACTTTATTTTAAAGTAAAGAATAAATAAAACAAAAAAATTTGTTTGTTTTTGTTTTTGTTAATCTTTTTAATTAATTCTATAATATATATAGGTTGATGATTATGGATCAAAAAATAAAGAAATTGATAATGAAATACGAATTGTACCAGCACCAGATCGTGATCGAACATTAGATTACCAAACAAATATAGAAGGTGCTGGTTTTTTCTATAAAACAGATCGAGTACCTATTGATACATGGCAATTATGGGAACATCATAAACATGATATTGATCGACCAGCAAAAAAAAGTTATCATTCAGGATCAAGATGTAAATAATACAACTTTTATAAAAAAAAGAAAAAAAAGAAACAAAAAATTGTGTTTTTTTTTTCTAAATATTTTCTTTTCTTTATTCAGCTCGTTCATGTAGTTCAAATCGATCATCATCATCATGTTCATCATCGAGTTCTACATGTTCATCATGTCAACATAATCGTCGAAGTCGTCGTCGTCATCATCATCGTCGACGACGATTAGCATCAATAGCATCGATTTCTGCTGCTCAACAACAACAATCTTTTCCTCCATCTGATTCTCAATCTTTATCAATAAATACTATTCCTACTAGTACTGCAACGACAACAAATTCTATTCAACAACCAATACAAGCACCTGTTGATCCATACGCACCAGCACCTAATCTAATTCGTGTTGAACGTATAAAAGATGTTAATTCAGGTCAAGATGTTTTTATTCGATGGGTTAGTGATACAAATGCTACAATGGCAATAAATGATGAACAACAACAATCTATTCCACATCAAGCTTATTCTACTAGGCCACCGATAAATTCCACAACAGCAAATTATGATTATCAAAATGATCGAGAATTATCAAATGAAATCGAACGTTTAACATTACACGATGAACATTTACGAAAATCTCTTCTATTTGATAATAGACCACCATCAATAACATCTAATTATGAACAGAAAAAACATAAAAAACGACAAAAACGTGATAAATATCGTGATATCGATAATCAAGAAGTTGATTATGAAGTTGTTAATGGTTTTTTTGAAGATCGTCATGGTAAAAAACGTCCGATTAAACTTGATCGTGCTCGTATAAGTACAGTTAAAGACTATCGACATTTACATAATGATGTAGTTAATTCATCTGCACCAAAAAAGGACCGTCGTCGTAATCTTCGCGCAACATCATTAGTTCGACCACCAATTCAAGAACAACAACAGCAACAACAACAACAACAACAATATCCTCAACCAACTTTTCCTCTAACTAATCAACCCATGATAAGACCATTGGGTACAACATATCTACCATTTAATACACCTTTTTATCCGAAACAAACATTTAATACAACAGCATTATTTTCTCGGCCAAACTTTATAAATCGAGTTCCACTTACACATCCTTCATTGTGGTATAGACCGATGTAGTAGTACGTCAGTTTTTCTTTTGTTAGCATATTGTTTTCTTTTTTATAAATTTTATGAAAAAGAATGAATGTATGTAATTTCAATGTCGGAAAATTGAGTAAAATGCCAAGAACACAATTATTTCACATTGGGGAAAAAAAATACAATGACTAGTTTTAATTATCATTTTTGTAATACTTCTGTCAAAAAAGCTGACTTTCGAAATAGAACCCTTAATAAATTCGAATAAACTTTTCTTTCCAATAGAA